CATCCCAGACCTCCCCAAAACCCCTCCTTAGAGACCCCTCAGTGCATCCCCCTCCCCCCATGGTGGGTGCCCCTCGCTCAGGGGGGTCCTGGGGGTCCCGTGGTTCCCCCCCCTGACATTTTGGGTTCCCCCCCCCCCAAATGGCAGATCAAGAGCGGGGAGAACGCCGCGAGCATCGCGGGGGAGCTGGCGCGGCACACGCGGGGCCCGGTGTTCGCCGGCGACGTCAGCTCGGCCGTGCGGCTGCTCGAGCAGCTCCTCGACATCCTGGACGCGCAGCTGCAGGCCCTGAGACCCCTGGAGAGGGAGTCAGCTGGAAAAAACTACAACAAGGTGAGACCCCAGACTCGGATTTGGGGGTTCAACCCCCTGGGAGTGAAGGGGGGGACACTTGGGACATCCTGGGCAGACCCTGCAGACCCTGAAGCCCCTGGAGAGGGAGTCAGGTGGGAAGAGCTACAACAAGGTGAGACCCCAGACCCGGATTTGGGGGTTCAGCCCCCTGGGAGTGACGGGGGGACACCCCGGACCGAGGGGAGTTTGTCTGTGGGATGTCCTGGGGACACCCTGGGCAGACCCTGCAGGCCCTGAGGCCCCTGGAGAGGGAGTCAGCTGGAAAGAACTACAACAAGGTGAGACCCCAGACCCAGATTTTGGGGTTCAGCCCCCTGGGAGTGAAGGGGGGGACACCCCAAAGTGAGGGGGGGGACACCTGGGACATCCTGGGCAGACCCTGAAGCCCCTTGAGAGGGAGTCAGGTGGGAAGAACTACAACAAGGTGAGACCCCAGACCCGCATTTGGGGGTTCAACCCCCTGGGGAGGGTGGGGGGGACATCCCAGAGTGAGGAGGGGACACCTGGGACATCCTGGACAGACCCTGCAGGCCCTGAGACCCCTGGAGAGGGAGTCAGGTGGGAAGAACTACAACAAGGTGAGACCCCAGAACTACAACAAGGTGAGACCCCACAGCCCCATTTGGGGGGGGACACATGAGAGTGAGAGGGGGACAATTAGGATGGAGGGGCACTTGTCTGTGGGACATCCTGGGCAGACCCTGCAGGCCCTGAGACCCCTGGAGAGGGAGTCAGACGGGATAAACAGCAACAAGGTGAGACCCCAGACTCGGATTTGGGGGTTCAACCCCCTGGGGAGGGTGGGGGGGACACCCAGGAGGGAGGGGGGGACACCCAGGACCGAGGGGAAGGGGCTCTGAGCACCGAGGAGAGGAGGAGCTGCAGCAGGAACTGTTACAAGGTGGGACCCCAAAAACCTGGATTTGGGGGTTCACCCCACATGGGGGGGGGCAGGGGAGGGTGGGGAGAGTGGGGGGGACACACGTGTGACTGAGGGGGACTGTGGGATGTGGTGGACCCAGATTTTGGGGGGGTTCTGCCCCAGATTTTGGGGGTTTCTGCCCAGATTTTGGGGGTTTCTGCCCCAGATCTTTGAAGGGTTTCTGCCCAGATTTTGGTGGTTTCTGCCCCAGATTTTGGGGGGTCCCTCCCCAATCCCGTCGTTTCCCTCCCCAGATGCACAAGCGGGAACGAACCTGCAAGGACTACATTAAGGTGAGGGGGCGTGGCCGGGAAGGGGGTGTGGCCTGTGAGATGGGCGTGGCCAAGCATGGTGGGAGGGGCTTGGTGGGGCTATCAGGGTGGGGCCAAGGAGTAGGTGGGGCCTGTATTGGGTGGGTCTGCACTGGTGGGTGTGGCCTTTATTGGGCTGGCTGGGTCTGTGAATGGGTGGGGCTTATGGGTGGGGTCTTTCCTGGGTGGGCGTGTCCAGTTGATCGTATCCTAACCCAATGGGCTTGTCCCAATGGGTGTGTCCTGGTGGGCGTGTTCCATCTCGTGGGCGTGTCCCATGTTGGTGGGCGTGTCCTCAGGCTGTGGGGGAGGCAGTGGGGGTGCCCATGTGGGCGTATCCCATCTGGGTGGATGTGTCCAGGTGGGCGTGTCCCACGGTGGTGGGCGTGTCCCTGTGGGCATGTCCCACGGCAGTGGGCGTGTCTGATCCCGGTGGGCGTGTCCCCAGGTGGGGGTGGAGGCGGTGGGTGTGGGCGTGTCCCTGTGGGCGTGTCCCACCCGGTGGGTGTGTCCCACAGCAGTGGGCGTGTCTGATGCCGGTGGGCATGTCCCTGTGGGCATGTCTGATCCCGGTGGGTGTGTCCCTGTGGGCGTGTCCCATCCCGGTGGGTGTGTCCCTGTGGGCGTGTCCCATCCCAGTGGGCATGTCCGCAGGCGGTAGTGGAGGCGGTGGGTGTGGGCGTGTCCCATCCCGGTGGGCGTGTCCCTGTGGGCATGTCCCATCCCAGTGGGCGTGTCCCTGAGGGTGTGTCCCATCCCGGTGGGTGTGTCCCCAGGCGGTGGTGGAGGCGGTGGGTGTGGGCGTGTCCCTGTGGGCGTGTCCCATCCCGGTGGGCGTGTCCCGGTGGGCGTGTCCCATCCCGGTGGGCGTGTCCGCAGGCGGTGGTGGAGGCCGTGGACAATCTGCTGCGTCCGGAGGCGCTGGAGTCGTGGCGGGACATGAACGGCTCGGAGCAGGCGCACACGGCCACGATGCTGCTGGACGTGCTGGAGGAGGGGGCCTTCCTGCTGGCAGACAACGTCAAGGAGCCGGCACGCTTCCTGGCGGCCCGGCAGAACCTGGGTCAGCTCTGGGGGACCCCTTAAATACCTCCAAACACCCCCAAACCCCTCCCTGGGAACCTCACCCGCTTCCTGGCGGCCCGGCAGAACCTGGGTCAGCTCTGGGGGACCCCCCAAATACCCCTAAATACCCCCAAAACAAACCCCTGCAACCCCTGCCCGCTTCCTGGCGGCTCAGCAGAACCTGGGTCAGCTCTGGGGGACCCCCTAAATACCCCTAAATAACCCCAAATATCCCCAAACCCCTCCCTGAGAACCTCACCCACTCCCTGGCGGCTCGGCAGAACCTGGGTCAGCTCTAAAGGACCCCCCAAATACCCCCAAATATCCCCAAACCCTTCCCTGGGACCCCCAAACCCATCCCTGCAACCCCCACCCGCTTCCTGGCGGCTCAGCAGAACCTGGGTCAGCTCCTGGAGACCCCCTAAATACCCCCCAAATACCCCCAGAACAACCCCTGCAACCCCTATCCGATTCCTGGTGGCCCAACAGAACCTGGGTCAGCCCCGGGACACCCCCCAAGTCACCCCCAAACCACTCCCTGGGACCCCCAAACCACTCCCTGGGACCCCCAAACCCTCCCTGGGACCCCCCAAACCCCTCCCTGTGACCCCTACCCAATTCCTGGCTGCCCGGCAGAACCTGGGTCAGCAATGAGAGACCCCTGAGAGACCTCCAAACACCCCCAAACTCCTCCCTGAGAG